TCAGCCCCAGCCAGCAAAGCCTTCACAGGTTTCGTGTTGGACGCCGACAGCCCTGGGATCCACGTGGGGCGGAAGGTGGGGCTGCAGCCTGGTCTCCCTCATTACCTCAATGCTTAATTAGCCGCCTGCATATTAATTAACGCGTGGCTCTTAACCCCGCCCCCCAGGCCGTCCTTGGAGGTGGCGCCCCCCATCCTGGCCCTGAATGGCTTTTTGGGGTCCGGCCCTTGGGCCCGAAGCTCCTCCTGGCCTCTGGGGGGAGCCGCTGAGCCCCATAGAGACCCCATAGGGACCCATAGATCCCATGGGGCGCCACCAGGATCCCACAGAGCCCCATAGGGACCCCATGGGGACCCCCAGATCCCCATAGAGACCCCATAGGGCACCTCCAGGATCCCATAGAGCCCCATAGGGACCCCATGGGGACCCCCAGATCCCCATAGAGACCCCATAGGGCACCTCCAGGATCCCATAGAGCCCCATAGGGACCCCATAGGGACCCCCAGATCCCATAGAGACCCCATAGAGACCCCCTAGGGCACTGCTAGGATCCCACAGAGCCCCATAGAGCCCCATAGGGACCCCATAGGGCACTGCTAGGATCCCACAGAGCCCCATAGGGACCCCCAGATCCCCATAGGGACCCCATAGGGTGCCACTAGGATCCCACAGAGCCCCATAGAGACCCCATAGGGCACCACCAGGCTCCTCCAGCACCCCATAGGGACCCCCAGATCCCATAGAGACCCCATAGGGCACCTCCAGGATCCCATAGAGCCCCATAGGGACCCCATAGGGACCCCATAGGGAGCCACTAGGATCCCCTAGAGCCCCATAGGGACCCCATAGGGCACCGCCAGGATCCCCCACAGCCCCATAGAGACCCCATAGGGACCCCTAGATCCCATAGGGACTCCCTAGGGCACCGCAATGCTCCTCCAGCACCCCATAGGGACCCCCAGATCCCATAGAGACCCCATAGAGACCCCCTAGGGCACTGCTAGGATCCCACAGAGCCCCATAGGGACCCTATAGGGCACTGCTAGGATCCCACAGAGCCCCATAGAGACCCATAGGGACCCCATAGGGCAGTGTTAGGATCCCACAGAGCCCCATAGAGACCCCATAGGGCACCACCAGGCTCCTCCAGCACCCCATAGGGACCCCCAGATCCCATAGAAACCCCATAGGGCACCTCCAGGATCCCATAGAGCCCCATAGGGACCCCTAGATCCCATAGGGACCCCCTAGTGCACTGCCAGGCTCCTCCAGCACCCCATAGGGACCCCCAGATCCCATAGAGACCCCATAGAGACCCCCTAGGGCATTGCTAGGATCCCACAGAGCCCCATAGAGACCCCATAGGGACCCTATAGGGCAGTGTTAGGATCCCACAGAGCCCCATAGGGACCCCCAGATCCCATAGGGACTCCCTAGGGCACCGCAATGCTCCTCCAGCACCCCATAGGGACCCCCATGACCCCCAGACCCACAGCGCGGTTCGGCACGGCCTGCATGTCTTTGTGCAGGAGCTGAACATGGGGCAGCGCTGCTCGGACACGAGAGGCATCGTCTTCGAAGACGTGAGGATCCCCAAGGAAAACGTGCTGCTGGCCGAAGGCGCCGGCTTCAAAATCGCCATGGGAGCCTTCGACAAAACGCGGCCGCCCGTC